AAGGTCACGACGTATTTTCTTTCGCCATGCCATTCCTTCCTGCTTATCTTCCAGCTATTTCGTCGGGACTAAAAGAGAGAAATAAATTGCAGCGTGCAACTAATTTTCGGAATTCCGCCGCTCGTACTGGACTGTTTATAAAAATTTTGCAGCGGTAAAATTGCAAGGCAACAAGCTTCTTTACTGACTCCATGGCTACTTGAAAAAGTGTTGCAGGGCCCCTTTAGATGAACATGTTACCCTCAAATCAATTCATCATTTTATTGAGCTTAAAAGCTTGTTATGACAACTTATATGCTCTAAGTATAATAAAATTTAAAATGTTATCTATTTTACAGGTTATTAATTGCATCCTACCGAAACTGATATCCCGCTACTACTCAAAGTTGTTTCGACTTTCTGTGAACGAAAAAAAAAATGGCATTCACATATAGGCCTTGTTTCAATATAAAAATAAATTGTGCTCGTTAGTTAGGTCATGATAATGAACTTTCTTACAGCGCAACACCAGAAAAAATACAGGACAGGGAAGGAGTAGAACAGAAAGAAAAGACGGCGCTGACTCACAACTGTTGTTTATTGGAAAAAACGGGGTGAAAAAATATTGGCAATATATATAGGTCCCGGCAGCCTACACCACAACATGCGCAGAATACGAGGTGCACCGAGGTAGCGTTATCACACTCATGGCAATAAACAAGCTTGGCCTAAATAACTTAATTCTTTTTCATGCAGTGTGACGGATGGTTCACTAACGCACTTGCTACCCCTAATCTTTATATGATATGCCTCAGCGATTTCTCTAGCTATCTGGTTAGGATGCTTGAAGATGATGGTGGTTCTCTCAAAAATGGGACGACAACCGCATGACCTGCAATGTTCCGGCAGATGAAGTCGCGCGATTCCTTGAAGAGATAACTCATGCTCCCTTAAACGAACATTCACACATCGTTTAGTTTGTCCCACGTACTCCCCGCCACACGATAATGGAGTTAAATACACAGCTTTCTTTACGCATGCGATGTACTTGTTTTTATGATTCACAGCGCATCTCCCTTTGGCCTGTTCGTTCCTCAGCGCATTATCGACCATCGGGCAAATGCGACCTACCTTATGTTTGGCGGAAAAAAGAACGTCGACACCATACCTTGAGCCTACATTTTTCAACCCATGCGCCAATTTGTGTACATAAGGAAAAACTGCTCTTTTTCTTTTTCCATCAGAATTTTCTTGAGCTCCTCTGCGTTTCACGAGCTTAGCGCTCCGAACCATAGACTCACACACAGACGAAATCACCTTGTCGGGATACCCAGCATCTACTAAGCGTTTTATCTGGTTATTAAAAGCAGTATTTGACACGTGCACACAGGATTTCCTGAGCGACGCATTTAAAATTGTCTTTGCAATCGCTCTCTTCACAATCTTAGAATGGCCAGACTTGTAGTTTAAGATAGGCTTAACTGATCTTGGCTCATATTTCCAACACAATTGATCTTTACCAAAAGTTAGCTTTAGGTCAAGAAACTGTAGCTCGTAATCTTTACTGACTTCGTGGGTGAAGGTGAGGCCTATACCATGCTGACTGAACAATTTAACAATGTGGTCAATGTCCTTATGGTGAATGTCATTGTGGGAAAAAATTACAAAATCGTCGACGTAACGAAAAACAGCACTGCAGCACTTACTAAGGTGACCTTCCAGCTGCCTGTCAATGTAGCCTAAAATAATGTCACTAATAATAGGGGCCACGCTGGACCCTATGCAGACACCAGACTTTTGTACATAAAGATCCCCCCGCCACGACACAAAGGTACTTTCAAGGTAAAATGACAAAAGTTCAAGAAATGATTCTAAAGAAATACCGCAACCATCGATGAAAGATTGTTCATCGTTGTCAAACACAATGCAGGCTTTTACGCATTTCATAACCTGGCAATGCGGAAGGGAATAATATAAATTTTCCACGTCAACACTGAAGGCACTACGTAGGCTCATCGAGTTATTTTTGAGGTACTCGCACACAGAATCCGAATTCGGTATGCGGAAAGGGTCAACAATATTCAAGCATGCTAGGTTCTTTTGCAGAAAACGTGAAATATCTAACTGCCAGCTACCTTTTTTCTTTTTGGTAAAGATTACCTTTACCAAAAAGGAAATTACCTTTAAAGATACCTTTTTGGTAAAGATCATTTGTGTTGGAAATATGAGCCAAGATCAGTTAAGCCTATCTTAAATTACAAGTCTGGCCATTCTAAGATTGTGAAGAGAGCGATTGCAAAGACAACTTTAAATGCGTCGCTCAGGAAATCCTGTGTGCACGTGTCGAATACTGCTTTTAATAACCAGATAAAACGCTTAGTAGATGCTGGGTATCCCGACAAGGTGATTTCGTCTGTGTGTGAGTCTATGGTTCGGAGCGTTAAGCTCGTGAAACGCAGAGGAGCTCAAGAAAATTCTGATGGAAAAAGAAAAAGAGCAGTTTTTCCTTATGTACACAAATTGGCGCATGGGTTGAAAAATGTAGGCTCAAGGTATGGTGTCGACGTTCTTTTTTCCGCCAAACATAAGGTAGGTCGCATTTGCCCGATGGTCGATAATGCGCTGAGGAACGAACAGGCCAAAGGGAGATGCGCTGTGAATCATAAAAACAAGTACATTGCATGCGTAAAGAAAGCTGTGTATTTAACTCCATTATCGTGTGGCGGGGAGTACGTGGGACAAACTAAACGATGTGTGAATGTTCGTTTAAGGGAGCATGAGTTATCTCTTCAAGGGATCGCGCGACTTCATCTGCCGGAACATTGCAGGTCATGCGGTTGTCGTCCCATTTTTGAGAGAACCACCATCATCTTCAAGCATCCTAACCAGATAGCTAGAGAAATCGCTGAGGCATATCATATAAAGATTAGGGGTAGCAAGTGCGTTAGTGAACCATCCGTCACACTGCATGAAAAAGAATTAAGTTATTTAGGCCAAGCTTGTTTATTGCCATGAGTGTGATAACGCTACCTCGGTGCACCTCGTATTCTGCGCATGTTGTGGTGTAGGCTGCCGGGACCTATATATATTGCCAATATTTTTTCACCCAGTTTTTTCCAATAAACAACAGTTATGAGTCAGCGCCGTCTTTTCTTTCTGTTCTAGTCCTTCCCTGTCCTGTATTTTTTCTGGTGTTGCGCTGTAAGAAAGTTCACGATGGATCCTAACCAACTGGCCCGACTTACCGTCTTACTACAGGTCATGATAAATACACCCATTTTTTTGTATGTCGTATATACTATTGAAATTCGATTCAATAACATTAGACCAAAATCACTATTCGCTTCGAAATCGTTTCGAACCCAAAATTCACTATTTGCACAAGCCTAATAAAAGGCACCTGTGTCACGCTCTTGTTATGTTAATTTATCTACGTACCCCCCCCCCCCCCCCCTTTCTCCTCCTCCATATGCTCCGCTGAAAGGAGTCCTCCATCACTTCCACCAGTCCCCAAGGGGTCCCCGACACATCCATGGCTGAGAACCAGTGCTTTAGTGGTTTTCTGTTCATTGTGATTTGACAGGCCCAAATTTTCACGTCCTTGTACTATTGAGTAACTTTGTAAACTTACAAAAAGATTGTGGAGTACAAAGCACTGTCGAGGCCAAGCATTAATTGTGTTCTTATGCCTCACAGAACTTGTAGATAAATTTTCTTTGTGACATACGAAATTTGCAATTGGATGACTACACGAACCAAAGTTTGAATGCTTGCTGCACCATGACACCGGAGTCTGTTATCAACTTGAAGTTGAGCTGTTTTTATGCATTGTCAGTAATACAAGTGATTGTTGCTCCTGTATTGCAATTACTGACCTTCCTTTGAAGAGAGCATCGAAGTGAAACTCTGGGTCACTCATTTCCCAGTCAATGGTGTACACGTTGACACGGTACGGACATTTGTTGTGTCAATCAAACTGTCGTGGGTAATTAGCAGCTGAGCAATATCTTCTGCATTCATTTTGTGTAGTTCTGTTGCTCATATGCTATGAAAATAAACAGCATGTATCAAGAATAAAAACAAAAAGAAGGGCACAGGAAAAGTAGTAAGGCTTGATATAACACTCAAAGCAGTTAACCAAGTGGGACTGTGATTATCTAGCTATCGATAGGAAGGTTAGCAGGGGCTGAACCTGCGACCTTCGTATAATACATCCGATGCTCTACCAACCTGGCTACCACAGCGGCATTCACCCTGCCACTTCCTACGGTATAATATATGTGCATTTAAACAAGAGAGAGTCGGTCAGCGCCACCTGTTGTCAATATGGCGAGTGTGGGACACTCACTTCTTTGCTTGTTGGCATAAAACAGCATGTGAACCAGGATTAAGGATATTATAGGTAAACTCAAGAAGAAGAAATTAACATGGACCAGGCACATAGACAGGATAACTGCTGGTCATTAAGGGAAACTGACTGAATTTCCAGAGAAGGCAATTGGGTGAGGAAGAGACAGAAAGTTAGGTGGGCAGATGAGATTAGGAAGTTTTTGGTTTGAAGTGGCAGCAGCAAGCACACGACCGAGTTGACTGGCAGAAGATTGAACTTTGTCCTGCAGTGGTCGTAGTCAGGCTGATGATGGTGATATAGCCCACAAAGTGGATGGAGCGGATAGCCGCCGTGGTAGCTCAGTTGGTAGACCATCATACGCGTTATTCAAAAGTCGCAGCTTTGGTACTTGTCAACGGCAAGTTATCATTTTGTCTACTTTTTCTCCTTCACTATTACATTACAATTACTTCTAATGACATCCGCTATACTTTTCTTGCCATAGTTGTCTCTTAGTTCTTGTTATTATACTGTCCTACTGTACGAAACTTTAGAAAGCATAGTGGCAGCATTGCTTCGTGTCGTCCGGCTAGTGTGCAGGATGTAGGTTTTGAAAAGTTGTTTTTTTTTACACTAATATTCTTTATTGTTTCAACGAGGCAGCTTCTGAGCGCATGGTCCTAATGTGCAGGGATCTGAAACCGGACAATATGCTCATCTCTGCTGAAGGGCATGTCAAACTCACCGACTTTGGTCTCTCGCAAGTTGAGTGCAAGAAAAGTGAGTGCACACATTTATATTGTGCCGCTAAGAAAATTACGTGTCACAAAAGCTTCTCACTTGGCTTCATAAAAGTTTTGCACACAAAAAAAAATCTTTGCATGACTTTAGACCTAGGAAAAAATATCTCATACTTTGTGACAGCCTGTAGGGCAGTAAGTGTTGGAAGGGTGTCTGCAGTTTACTTTTGCAATAACTCTAGTTTTACTGGTCATTGAAAGAGTACACTGAATGTTGATTTTTTTTTGCCCTGTGTCCCTGATATTTCAGTATAAGTTGAGAAAGGACAAAAAGGTCCTACAGTCCAACCTACTTATAACAATCCCAGATACAACAATCTATTCGTTATAATGGCCATATTTTGGTGCACTTATGATTTTCGTATGCTATTCTTTGAAACTGAGTCTGGATACAGCGAACGTTTTTCAGCGCCTACTAGTTGTTGTCGTCGTCTTTAGAGAGTGTCGGCGCTGGACATTGCTGTGCGCAACTTTTTTTGCTAGGAGAATGCTGAAGCCAAAGTAAAAATACTTTGCAAGCTGCGTGCGAAATTGACTCACTACAAGGCAAACGTGTGCAGACATGCATCACCGATTACTTCAATTAATGACGGATGTCTTGTGATTTGTCAATAAATGTTAGTCTTCTGAAACTTCCCCCTCGTGTGCTAGCTCAATGCACATGCGCCACTGCATGGTGAGCCCTCCATTCATTTAGCTTTAATTAATTCGAACTCCTTTCAATTTGAACTAATCTTTGGGCCCCTTCAAGTTCGAATTATCGTGATTTGACGTACAGGCGTTCAGAAGCATGTGATAGGCGCGCTCGCGTGTGTAGTGGTGTAGTTTGCTTGCGACAGAAGATATCACGAAATGCGGCGAGCACCACACGCAGATTTCGGATGTTGCGAGCGAGTTGGTTCGCTTTCCAGGCATTTCTTCACAGGTAAACGGGAAGTGAGTGGGATAAAAACGAAAAGAAGAAATAGGAGGCAGCATAAAAAATGGAGGTCAGCTTTTGCACAGCAAACTTTTTCGACGTCGTTCTTGGCATTTGCGAACGCTGACAATAAGCCAACAATGCCTTTGAAGCAAAAAGCTATAAATGCGAGAAGTGATAACTTTTATCGCATGAAAGTTCGCTGCAACGCTCAACTCTTTGACATCATCATGAGCTGTAAAAGGTTTTTCACCTTTCAAATGGCAAAGAGCGGTCGATAGTGATAACAACTTCTGCGCAGTCGCGGCGGTGCTTTAACGAATAAGCATAAAAAAGAGCGATAGCGAGGTGGCCGGTGGCAATGAACGTGCCATATCGACTCACTGCCAGCGAGCTTATCACCGTCATCTGCAGATAACTGCTCGATTAAGTGATAATTCTACACGCGCATCATGGTGTCGTTCGCAGGTTCGCCCCTGCCACGTCGTGCAAGGCCGCTCCCATTGCTACTTGACGTTGCTAGTCGACGCATCCTAGCACGATCCCGAGTGAAATATGCACAAAGAACACATAAACGCGTGTATACAATGGACTGCAAGCGAACTGGCATGCGACGGTGCGAGTAGCTAGGGTAAGCGACATACTGTGCGCAACTGGACAGAGATGACGGGTTCAACGTGGCAGTATCGCGATTCAAAGGACGGCATGAGTTCATTGTGAACGGGCGTCGTTTAACACTCAAAAAGCCCTAACATGTCATTGGAGGCGTTGCTCTCGATTTTTAATAAATATACACAAAAAACAACGGTTTGGCCACTTTGTTCACGTTTTTATGAGCAGCTCCCAATGCAACGAACTACTGGTATAACGACCATTTATTATGGCACTTTCGAGTTCGTTATAAACGGGTTCGACTGTATACGAAACCATTACATAGGGAGATTTGGTATCCAAGAGCTGGATGTGAGATGCTACTGTGAGCATGTAATTGCATGTAACCAGTAGGGCAGCTGTAATTTACGGGCAGTGAATTCGGTCTTTTTTTGTCGTTGCAGCCATCTATTACAACCCTAAAATAAATGCAAGCTCCTCCTGCAAAACTGAAACGTGGTAGTCAATCACTTATGTAAATATGTTAATCAAACTGGTTTCTTTGCTAACTTGGACTTTTTCTGCGGTGTTGTGAATACTACGCATATCAATAAGTGGACGTTCGTTGTTTCTGCTAAAGTATGGCCTTTAGCTAAACTGTAATGTTAGTTTCTGATGACATTTGCCATGGTGTTCCTCTTTAAAACTAGCTACGCTATCATGTGATTTGGTGGAGTGTCCTTGCAAATGCTGTCTGGGTATGATGGTGGTGACCGTGCATGGTATTTGTATTTATGTTCTTAGGTAGTGCTTTGATCATGAAGAGCCACTCATGCTCATGACCGTGCATGGTACTTGTATTTATGTTCTTAGGTAGTGCTTTGATCATGAAGAGCCACTCATGCTCACATTTATTGCAGAGGCTGTGTTTAAAGGAGCACTGGCATTAAATTTCAGGATCGAGATGTGCCCTTCATTCGGTTGTTTGATGTGCATGGGTACTCTTGGCCAAATTTGAATTGCGTCTGTCATGTGGAAGTTATCTTATTTCGACAGCAAACAGCGTATGAAAGCTTAATAGAAAATGGAGTGCCCTTGCGACATTAACACCAATGCTACACGTTCGGTGTGATACATTTCACACATACCATCCTGAGTTACAATACGCTAGTAGCGATGGCGTCAGCGATTTGAGTATTCCTATTGGAGCGCTGAAGCCTGGAAATGCACTCACTTGTCATGTCTGATCTTCGTCACACCGCTTTGAATGATTTCATAAAATTACCAAGATGCAAACCACCTATAAAGAAAAATGGTGAAAAAAAAGAACATGATTCAATGTTTGCTTGTCAGTCAGCATGTCAGGTAACCGTTGGTAGTTGCAGTTGTCTGTTCAAAACAAAGAAAAAATGCAACGAGGGTGTGTTTTCGTTACATATTGCGGAGGTCCTGCCCTATGCCCGCGTGGTGCAGAATCCTAGCTAACGTTATAGCCGCACACAGTCGTATCGTGCACCATTAACATTCCCTCCCAGGAGCTCTAGGCATTATAGTTATAATAGGTTTGGGCAAATAAAGCAACAAGCTAGGTCAACAAAACGACACTTTATTGCTACGTTAGCGATAATGCATGAACGTCGCGTAGATGGACTGTTCGCTCTATAAAGATAACAAAGGGTATGCGCTTAAGCCTTTCATCGCCGATTGCCTTGGCTCGTAAGGAAATCCAGGGGTGGTCCTTCCTGTGTGGTGGCCGGTGCAAGAGAGAGAGTGTCTCCCTGTCGGCACACTCGTATTGACCAACCTCCCGGTTTACCTCTCCCCAATGAGGGTGGTTCCCTCACTGAATGAGAAGAAGGGGGAATCCTGTGCGCCGGTCGCTGCGTGAACGGCCCCTTCCAAAGAGGCTTGATTGTCTTTTTCTCGAAGGGACGGACGTGTCTCCGCAACTAGTCTGCTGCTAAAAGAAAATTCTTTCCCACAATGTATGCTACATGCCAACACGACCACAGCCTATCGAAGTGGAGCAGGGTATAAACAGATATCATCAATAAAAAGTAACACGCAGGTATCATTAATAGTTAATTATAGTTTGTTCATAGACTTTCTTGCGTCCGCGTAATGCATAATTACTGGTGCCGTTGCCATGAGAGGCTAGATAGGTGGGGAGCAAAGAAAAACTTCCCAAGTGGAAAATGTATTCTATTTCTTCCCTTGTGTGCATTCCCTACACTGATACTCCACTGACCCCTTTGCGCATACCTGAAGGCTGTGCACACCAAAGCTCCCCAATATAGCTAATTTATACGCACAAGCGAGCATTGCCAAAGCATGCATCGTCGGGCTGTTCTTCGAAGGGTCGATAAAACCAAGAATGATTCGCAACATCACAAATTATGACGATTCCAAGCTCCAGGCTGTCGTATTCAACCCTAGTCGACACTTTGTATGCAATGACGGCAATGCATATGGCAAGGCATGACTGAATGCGTGCACCTAGCAGACGAAATGTTTGCGGAGCGGTTGAGCCTGACATCACTCTTTTCTGTGGAGAAGGGGTCGGCTGTGGCGTGATGTAGATGCGACCACGAGGTAGTGCCACTGGTAGCGCTCCCAGCTCTAAAAATGGCGGGATTTCCGGCCATTTTGAATCGTGCTAGATACCAGTGATATAAATCAATGAAAGTGATAGTTATTTATTCCTCAGTTACATTGGGCAGTAGCTGCGGCACAGGAAAGGCATGTGCTTAACTGAATTTCCGCATTTTACAGTGTCTATTGCCTGGCAAGGTTTCGACAGCTGTCGCGACACATGTAAAAGAGTATCCGGGCACCGGCTGAGCAGGACGTTGCATGGAACTCTCAGTCTGCGTCAACTGTATTAGGAATCGCTGATCGCCAACCTACACTTGTCTGTAAAGCTCTTGTCAGCAAGCCGTGTGGAGAGGACACCTCACGAAAGTTCCACTGACGCCCTTCACTTGGGCAGCAGCAGCGGCACAGAAAAGGCGCGCGCTAAACGGAATTTCCACATTTTACAGTGTCTATTGCCTGGCGAGGTTTCGACAGCTGTCACGACATCTGTGAAAGAGTAGCCGGGGACCGGCTGCGCAGGACGTTGCATGCAACTCTGTCTGTGTCAACTGTGTCAGGAATTGCTGATCGTCAACCTACATGTGTCTGTGAAGCTGTTGTCAGCAAGCCATGTGCAGAGGACACCTCATGTGACCACGACGCCCACCCTGCCTACTACATACCTGCCAAGTCTCCCGGATTGGCCGGGAGACTCCCGGATTTGGGCCGTTTCTTCCGTTTGTACGGCTGTCATGAAAATCTCCTGGAAATCGATATTTTAGTGTGTGATTCAGCCGCCTTGACAAAAAAGCAGCTCAATCCTCCGCAGGATTTTCAAACCTACCTCATTTTATTATGAATGAGTTTAAGAGGCGTTCATCTAAACGTACAGTAGA